TGTCTGTTTCTCATTCAACCTCTTCCCTTATGTGTCTGTCTGTCCCCCTAGCCCATTTGTGTGTCTTTTTCCCCTTCCCCAGACTGTTTCTTTTTACCCCCAACCCCTCTGTTGGGTCTCTGTTTGTACCCCCTCTGAGTTCCTCTGCTCCCCACGCCCCTCTTGGAGGAACAAAAGGTCCCCTTAAGCCCCTCTGTGTCTCTTTGCCACATAAAATGTGACGACAGATAAGAACCATTTGGCCCATCTAGTCTGCCCAATTTTCTAAATACTTTTATTAGTCCCTAGCCGCATGCTTAAACTCCTTCACTGTGTTAATTTCTACCCCTTCAGCTGGAAGGCTATTCCATGCATCCACTACCCTCTCAGTAAAGTAATACTTCCTGATATTTTTAAACCTTTGCCCCATCTAATTTAAGACTATGGCTTATTTTGTTGTGGTAGTTTTTCTTCTTTTAAATATAGTCTCCTCCTTTACTGTGTTGATTCCCTTTATGTATTTAAATGATTCTATCATATCCTCCCTGTCTCGTCTTTCCTCTAATCTATACATGTTAAGTTCCTTTAACCTTTCCCTGCAGGATAAAACTTACAAGGAAAGGTTAAAGGAACTTAACATGTATAGCTTGGAGAAAAGATGAGACTGGGGGGATATGATAGAAACTAGGGATCGACCGATATTGATTTTTCAGAGCCGATACCGATACCGATATTCTGTGAACTTTCAGGCCGATAGCCGATATAATTTGCCGATATTCTGTACATTTACCATTTTGGAAAATAAAAACTATTTCTAAAGGTAAATGCACAAAATATACATGCCACGTGTAGTGGATGCAGTGTGACAGGGGAGCTGTGTGTGTTTGTGTAGTGTGTGTGTTGTGTAGTGTGTGTGGATGCAATGTGTGTTTGTGTAGTGGATGCAGTGTGTATTTGTCTAGTGTGTGTAGTGGATGCAGTGTGTATTTGTCTAGTGTGTGTAGTGGATGCAGTGTGTATTAGTGTAGTGTGTATATAATGAAAGCAGAGTGTTTGTGTAGTGTGTGGGTAGTGTGCGTAAAGTGAATGCTGTATATACTAAATGCAAAGTGTGTGTGTATATAATGAATGCAGAGTGTGTGTGTATTTGTGTAGTGTGTGTATAGTGAATGTAGTGTGTTTATATAATGCAGAGTGTGTGTGTTTGTATAGTGTGTGTATATAATGCAGTGTGTTTGTGTAGTGTGCATTATATAAACACACTACACAAACACACTGCATTATATACACACACTGCATTATATACACACACACTACACAAACACTGCATTATATAAACACACTACACAAACACACACACTGCATTATATACACACTGCACAAACACACTACATAAACACACACCGAATTATATAAACACTACACAAACACACTGCATTATATACCCACACTACACAAACACACACTGCATTATATACACACACACTATACAAACACACACTGCATTATATACCCACACTACACAAACACACACTGCATTATATACACAGTGTGTTTGTGTAGTGTGTGTATATAATGCAGTGTGTGTTTGTATAGTGTGTGTGTATATAATGCAGTGTGTGTTTGTGTAGTGTGGGTATATAATGCAGTGTGTTTGTGTGCATTGTATACAAACACACACTATACAAACACACACTGCATTATATACACAGTGTGTTTGTGTAGTGTATGTGTATATAATGCAGTGTGTGAGGGGGCATTTTTTATTAAATTATTAAAAAAAAAAAAAAATTATATTTACTTAATTATTATTTTTTGTTTGTTGTCCCCCCTCCCTGCTTGTTACCTGGCCAGGGAGGGGCGATATGACAGTTCCTGGTGGTCCAGTGGCATTGGCTGAGCTGGGGGGGGCGGAGAGCAAGCGCTTACTCACCTCCCAGCAGCTCCTCCAGCTCCCCAGTGTAACTCTCGCGGCCAGCGTTGCCATGGTGATCCATGGCAACGCTCTGACGGCCGCGGGTCTCGCGAGAGTTGCACTGGGGAGCTGGAGGAGCTGCTGGGAGGTGAGTAAGCGCTTGGTCTCCGCCCCCCCAGGACCGCCGGGCTTGTAATGAGCCTGGCAGTCCTAGGAGGTATTATCGGCAATATCGGTATCTGAATTGGCCGATACCGATATTGCCGAGAATACCGAATATCGGCCGATTATATCGGTAAAACCGATAATCGGTCGATCCCTAATAGAAACATTTGTGTCTCTTTGTGCCACCCAGCTCCTCCCCTGCCTCCTGTAAGTGCGTGCAGTGCGCTCTCCTCCTGCAAGTCACCCGGAGGTCGCACACCCCTAGAAAGTGCAAACCCCACAGTATACGACTGGGTGTAGGAAATATACATACACAAAGTAGTCCCTACTTTGTCTCAATAAGTCTCATAACTGGGTTGGAATTTCAGTTAAATTCCAACACAGTCAATGTGAGTATTTCATAGTTATTCTTTATGATACTTACGTTTCAGGGTCGGTGAGAGTGCCGCTTTAAGGACCCAGACTTTCTTGATGGCAAGTTAGCAATTACAGCCTATACACCAGGAATGTATGATCATACCTTGAAAACAGGATTTCTAATTTACAGTGTTTATATGTGTATATATAGTTCAGATATTTTGTTAGTTTGCATTAAATATCTTACACAAAAAGGCTAGAGTAATACCTAAAAGACTATGCTCGCAGGTCACAATAATCCAGATGATATCAAATCCACCCTGTATGGCAGAAATGTATGGTAAATTCTAGATTGCCATAAATGTTTCCGGCTCATTCAAAATTCCATGTGGAATTCAGAAAGCATTCTTGAGCTACTACTTTCTCTATAAATTATTTACACATGGCTGGCACTATCTTACCTATGCACAACATCATAATCTAAACCAACAAGCAAAACATGCATAAAGGCTACATTACAGCAAGATTTCTTAGAGGTTAATACTTGGCTTTACAAAACCAAACTCTTCATAAATACTGACAAAATTGTGCCAATTGTACTTTAACAATACCTAGTTTAAAAATCAACCTAATGTTAAATGCTTGTTTACCCGTGGGGGGGGAAAAAAAAAATCTGTCTCAACTTTATTTTAGAATTTATCACTGGACTTCGTCTGCCAGTGACATGATTAATCAAATCACTCGCAAAGAATATACCATGATTTCCATACATGTAATAAATATTAATGGTTAACATTTATATTAATATTGATTTATTATTGTGTTTTAGGTATATTGGAATGGCCATTTTGGACTAAGTTGGTGGTGGTTGCCATTGGCTTCACAGGAGGACTTTTGTTTATGTATGTGCAATGCAAAGTGTATGTCCAACTTTGGAAAAGACTAAAGGCATACAACAGAGTTATCTATGTACAGAATTGTCCAGAAACTTGTAAAAAGAAAATATTTGAAAAAACAGTAATGATCGAGCCAAATCTGGAGAACAAAGAAGCTCTTGGAATTCACCACTCAGACACAAACTCTTCATATTACACAGAACCGGAGGATTGTGGTGCAGCTATCCTCCAAGTTTAAATATTCCTTCATTGTTCTTTTCAGGAAACATTTGTTTACCGACTGCTGGCAGCAGTAGATGATGTCCTGAAACACTTTTTTCTGCTATTCAATTTACTGTACATGTTCCTCAATTTAAATAATATAGGCCAGAGTTTTATACCTCTACGAACAAATACCAGTTACTAGGGCCACATTCAAGTATACAGTCTGAAATCGGCATAGAAGATGAAAATCAATATATAAAATATTTGCTTTTGGATTATTCATGTAGTACAATACTTTACAGAAGTGTGGACAAGTATCACAATTTGAAAACTTTTTACTTTTCAATGAAGAAAAATTACATAATGTCTGAGTTGCTAGCATGGCCCACCACTCTTACTGCCAATTACATCTTTTATGAATTCAGATTTCAAGATTCTGCTTTATACGCCAGTCACAAGAGCATTAAGCACTTTTTACAAAATGTCTTTTGTTATACCTGTGTTGACTTGTAAAATTGTTTTGGCTACAGTCACATTCTGTGACATCTCTAGTATAATTGATGTGGAAACCTCTAGCCTTACAAGAATCAAGATATTTATATTATCTTATTTATAGTATAATTTAATATAAATGTCTTTCTTCACAACTGTCATTTTACACATGAGAAAAACAATTTATGCCTTGTTATTTCAGGAACAAATGCATCTGTAGGTAGTTGGGACATTTTTTTCTACCACACATTCATTTTTTTTTTTTTTTTTTTTTTACTGAAAATGCACAACTTCGTAGACTTTTGAATTTATGGTGTAATATTGAATAAAATCTAGAACTTTTACTAAGATAAGTATTGTAGACTATGAAGTATTTTATTTTGACAAAGAGTATCCTTTTAAAAACAAATTTTTTTACTTACCATAAATTTATTTTTCCAGAAGATTAGAGGCAGTGCTTTACAACTAGGATTTCATCACCTGGAGGGAAAAACAGGCAGGCAATCTCCCAAACTTTTCAAGAACCTCCCCCAATTAACCTTTGGCTTTATAAATTGCTTCCTACCCAAGACATCCCCAGAAATTACAAAAGCCGAATAACCGTACCACTCAGACTATAAACAATTTTTTTTTTTTTTCTTCAGATTAGAGGCAGTGCTTTACAACTGGGATATCCAAAAGCCATCTCTTAGGGCGGCACTCAATTCTCACTGCAAAAAACCTGCGACCAAAGTTGTATCTTCCAAGATCAACAGACCAAATTGAGTGAAGAGATCACCTCGTGGCTGTTAGGAATTCGAGAGAATGTATAGCAGAAGCCCTCAGGCAACCGATCTTAACATCTTCAAATGGAGATAGGAGTTAGATAAGAAAAAACCCAAACGAATGCAGACCTTTAAGGTAACAGACTAGAACTAAACGCCCAGGCAGTGGAATTAGAATTCCAAGACCCTAGAACGCTGTTGGGGAAAGTTAGAAAAATAATGTTGGATGGAAGATTGGGAAGAATTAAAGAATCCAACTTAACTCCACTTTCTCCTGCTGAAAATGGAAACTTGAAGTTCTTCCCAAAAATATTTTGGGCGACTACCCCCAAAGACCTAGAGGGAAGAGTAAAAAACCCCAAAAGAAGATCCCCTGCGGAAAAGATTCCCTGAGGATAGGAACTACGAGAGGGCCTAGCAGATACTGGTGATTTGGAGACAAATCTCTGAAAATCAACTGATAACCGAAATTTGACCTTGAGGATCTCTGGCTTTAACCCATCCGAAGAAAAAAAAAAAAGTTAAAACTTGGAAGCGGATGTCTGCTTTTCTATGAACCAACATCTTAAAAAAACAACACCTTCCATACTTGGAATAAATCTTGGAACAAGATCCATTTATAGTAAAATAAATTGTCAATAAATTCCTGAGACAAAACATTATCCTTCAGTATCTGGTATACATAAACCAGGTCGTCAGCTTGAATTACAACAAATTTGAGAAGCGGTACCCTTGAGAATTCCAGGATGCCTATTTCCAGGTAAGGTCCCCAAAGATTACTCCAGATAATTTCTGATGAACGGTGAAACAGCTGCTTGCCACCAAGGGAGGAAGACTATCATTCTCACCTTTTCCATCCTATAGGATCTTGGGGGATAGGGAACCCGGAGGAAACTATAGATTAGACTGGAATTCCCAAGAAAGAAAAGGAAACCAAAGCTTACTGGTCTGTCCAAACTTGTCCTATTAAACACTTCATGCTATCTGTTTGATCTAGAAGTCCCAGTTCCATAACTGGGTAATCAAATTCTTCCTATCGTTTAGGTGAAGATCAGGGAGTATGAACCAATCTGCTTTGTATTAAATGTTGACTACTCAATGCTACTGCTAAAGAGAGGAATATTAAGTTCAAAAATCTTGTTCCAGGATATGCTTGGGTTAGTTTTTCTTAGGTCTATTCACTTATGCTAGGCTATTCACTCCTGCTAGGCTCTTTCAGGTTTTTTACTCTGCTGATTTGAGTCTTCACTCTAGGTCTTTGGGAGTAGTCGCTCAAAATATTTTTGGGAAGAACTTCAAGTTTCCATTTTCAGCAGGAGAAAGTGGAGTTAAGTTGGATTCTTTAATTCTTCCCAATCTTCCATCCAACATTATTTTTCTAACTTTTCCCAACAGCGTTCTAGGGTCTTGGAATTCTAATTCCACTGCCTGGGCGTTTAGTTCTAGTCTGTTACCTTAAAGGTCTGCATTTGTTTGGGTTTTTTCTTATCTAACTCCTATCTCCATTTGAAGATGTTCAGATCGGTTGCCTCTCGAATTCCTAACAGCCACGAGGAGATCTCTTCACTCAATTTGGTCTGTTGATCTTGGAAGATACAACTTTGGTCGCAGGTTTTTTGCAGTGAGAATTGAGTCCCGCCCTAAGGGATGGCTTTTGGATATCCCAGTTGTAAAGCACTGCCTCTATTCTGAAGGGAAAAACAAAAATTTTTACTTACCGTAAATGTCTTTTTCCAGAAGATTAGAGGCCCCGCCCCCCCCCGTTCATAGTCTGAGTTGTACGGTTATTCAGCTTTTGTAATTTCTCGGGATGTCTTGGGTAGGAAGCAATTTATAAGGCCAAAGGTTAATTGGGGGAGGTTCTTGAAAAGTTTGAGAGATTGCCTTCCTGTTTTTTTTCCCTCCAGGTGATGAAATCCCAGTTGTAAAGCACTGCCTCTAATCTGAAGGGAAAATTATTGTATTTTATATTCATCTACATTCAAAAGGAAGCATTCAATGAGCGTTTAAAATACACCTTGCATTTAATTGTCATTTTTTTTTCCATTGTACCAGGAATGAACAGGACCAACTGTCAGACAGCCAGGGAATATAATATCCAGGTTAATTTATAGAAGTGCCAATTTCTACAGAAATCTGTGTTTTTTTGTAAAAAAATAAAATAATTAAAGGACTTAATCAGCCTAGAGTGTCCCTTTAAGAAAGAAATACAAACATTGCATTATGAACTACATTCATTAAAGGGACACTGTAGGCACTGTATCTGCTTCATCTCATTAAACTGGTTATAGTGTCTGGAGTACTCTGGTACCATCATTTATTTCAGCATTAAACAGTTTTTAAACTTTTAATGTTTTAATGCTAAACAAGAGTCCCCGGCAATCCATCCCCTCTGTGCTGCTTTGGCAAATAAGGAAGTATTAGCCTGAGCAGCAATAGGCAGCTGTGATTGGCTGAGAGTGTCAGCTGACTGCTTTTAGCCTGTCAGAGTTCCAACTGACCGTATGAATGGGTATGACAACAAGGAAGTGTGTAATCTCTGCCTTGGCTACACATACTGAAGGGGCCGGACTGTGGGTGGCCAGGGACTCTTATTTTGTGGCATACTGCATGAACATGGTGCAACACTGAATGGAGGGACAGTGCCAGGGCATTCCAGGCACTATAACCAATTCAAAGAGATGAAATGTTTATAGTGACTACAGTGTCCCTTTAAGCCCCCCTCCGTCCCCATTTTATGACATTCCAAAATTTTCAACCTGAAAACTATGCTTAACAATTAATTTATACCATGTTTATCAGCCTTTCTATAAATCTTCCTGACACAGCCTGGTTCTGCTTCCTTGGCACCCAAGGAGGCAAACATTTGTGGCACATTGTTTAAAACATAATTTCCCTCTTTGGGCTAAACCAATACGCCGAACATACTACATCAAGAGGCTGCATTACGGCACAATTGCTCTTATTTTGGTAACCAGGGCAGCTATAGAAGTGATTCAGGTGTCTTTTGAAAAGTCTTTCAGATGAGATGTTACTTGCTTATATTAGGAAAAAAATATATTATCTATAAACTTGATCTTTCTTTTAAGTTTTTTTTCAAACAATATATGTTGTATATTACTATTAAACTGTACCAAATGTGAAGATGAGATCCCACTGAAATCAAGAATTATGTTAAAGGTCGTTTAAGGTTGTGAGTTGCATATTGCATCACAAATTTAAGCTCTGTTGTAATCTTTGCGGAGTGAAGATTGCTCCACTGCACCTTGAAGTGAAACAATGTGAGAATTACCGTTACTATATGGGCAAGTGATGCATAAATTACTACATTTTCGAATATGTGCTATGACACATTAAAGTGGATCTGTCACTTTGGGGAGTTTTTGCATATTTCGCAGTTTCCTAAAACTGACAAATTACAGATATACACACAAAAAAAAAAAAAAAACACTTTTAGCCACCCTCCTGTTTCCTACCTTTAGAGTGCCTTTCCTGGGGTTCAGTGGGATTGGGCAGCAGGTGGCACCAGGTTGAGACTGGCTTTGGCTGGTGGAAGTTTGTTGCCGCTGCTTCAGATTCCCCCCTTCTCCTGTCTCTCCAACCCCGTGCAGCTCTCTGTGCACTGGGAGGAAGTGAAGGGAACAGTTACTACTTCCTCTTGGCGCTGGAGGCAGGCTCTGTGGAATGGGACAGGCAGGAAGCAGAGCACTCTTTGCCTGGTGTCCTGCCAGCTTGCAATTCCCCTGCATGGCCCCAGCCTTGGTAGGAAGAAAATACAGTTCCCTTAACTTCCTCCCAGTAGAACGGCGCACAAAGTGTTGCATGGGGATTGAGGCAGAAGGAGGAGGAAACTGGCCGACCAATCCCAGACTCCAGGACAAAATTCTTAGTCGCCATGGCTACTGGCATTTCCCAAGCCTTGTATTACACATTGTATCACGAATACAAGAGTACCCCCATGTACCATCCCCTCCCCGCCCCCAGGTTTTTTGGTATATTAGATGCCCCTTTTCAACTTGGAAATTTGACAATGTGATTTTCTGTGTCTGTCACCTTTGAGACAGTATGGCACCTAAAGAAAGTGGACCCCCCGATGGCATACATTTTTTTGTCAATCATTGTTTTATTGAGATGGTAGCATGAAACCTAACAAAAGCAGTATAGTACCAGATTTGACAGCTTAAAACAACTCAGGGTGAAAAAGACATCTCATTTTCAAAAATACTAAAAAGTAATACAGGCTAAACATGCATGTCTAGGCCTAGCTGAACGACCAGTGAAAAGAATTGCTAGACAGAAGGATTACTAAGATTATTTCCAGAGAAGGAACCACTGAATCCTGAGACACCGCATACAACATAGCACAAGTAAAATGCTTAAGAAAAACCAACAGAAGCACTCAGTAATGGGCAAAATTAAGAACGTAGCCATCCTTGAGGCATAATAGGTGGAAGTATTAGATGTTGAGACAGTCTGTGTAAGAGGGTCCGATCAGTCAACTTCTTGACTCAGATGATGTAATCAACAGAACAGAAGGGAGGCCATATATACAGACAGCCCTAGGCCTATACGGAGGCTGCACTATTGAGCCATGGACCTGGGTACACGCAAGGTCCAGGGAGAGGGAAACCGCCAAGGATCGGGTTCTGATACCGCTATTAGCGTGTAATCCTCTGCTGGATTGGACTTTGAGAAGGGGGAAACCCCTAGTGGCCTTCAGTCCAGGTATGTATGTGTAAATTAATCAGGTGTTTGAATGTTGACTATCTCCAGTGGGAGGCACACCTTCTCCCTGCTTCTCCATTCACCCTCAAGTTTTAGGTGAGAGGTTGCTGCTCGTGTCTCTAGTTGCACCCTCAAGGTTTGGAAAGTTTCTTCCAGTTTCAACAAAGATCGCTCCACAGGGTGACTACAAACCTGAGAGATCGATATCAGAGCGCATTCCTGATGCACAAGATCATAATCCATTTTGGAAGTATAGCCGTGAGCTGCCATGTAGTGAAAATGGTAAGCAGTGTCCAATGATGGATTTGAGCAATTCAGTGGGTTCCCTACGGCCCGGGGGTGGAGGGTGAGATGTGACATTGCAAGGAGGCAATATTGCGTAGGTCAGAATAGAGGTGGCCTGCCCCACCCGTCGTCGTCACCAGGCCTCACTGAGCCCAACAAGAAAGGCAAAGGCTGGCAAGGTGAGGTAAAGAACCAGAACGTTCCACTCTATCAGTAGCAGGTAAGTATGTCGCTTGAAACAGTAGTAGATGAGGAGCTCTCTAGACAAATGTCCAGGTGCTATGAATGTCAGGCACTGTCCCGCTTGGCATATTATTTTTAACAAGTATTCTAAATGTAGTATTTAGGTTGTTTGGTTTAGCTTCTTTATAATGGCTGGGCTTAACGTAAACAGGGACAAGCCAAGGTTAGGGGAATCCAGAAGTCACAATAGTCGGTATGACAAGCAAATCAGTTTCTACTGGCAGTTAACAGAGTAATCAGGACAGGTGGAGGTCTGCAATCCAGAATAATCAAACTAACAAAATCCTATACTGAGTGATTAAACAGGTCAGCTCTCTATGGTAGACTCTAAAACAGTGTTATGCAAAGGGCAGGAAGAGCAGTAATAACTGGAGTTCTTTTGGACTCCTTTCTTATAGCAAACAACAATTTCTCTGGGGTGACTTTTTACAGGCTGTGTGGTGAATCTAGGAAGGAAAATGCTTACCCTAAGTCTTTGGGCATCTTCTGATAAAAAAATTGCAATTTTTAACCAGGTCTACTAGCCCCATTCTACAACGCACTTTGGTTTTTCCAGCTGTTCAGTTCTTCCTCTGACACACACTGGAACTGTACTTTTACATTGTAAGGAGAACGGTGAGAGGAACGCAAGGAGAGTAGACTGGAAAGACAGCAATAGGACGCTAAGTATTATTTTTGCAAGATTGCCACGGTGCACCCCGAACCCTGCAGACAGCAAGGCGTGGTCGCCCCTTTAACCTCTTAAGGACACATGTATGACATGTCATGATTCCCTTTTATTCCAGTCAGGGTCTCTACCTTGCGTTCCACCAGGGGGCTTCAGCATCTACCTGTATTTGTCTGCTGCCCGAGTCCTTGCCTGGATGGAGCAGTGCTGATCCACCTGCAGCCCCTTACCAATTAGGATCAGCTGCTCCTAATCAGCAGGCTGAAAAAGCCTCTATCTGGTCAGTTTTTCCCGCCGGATCTTTGTTACTCTGCTGACTGATTTCCTGGACTCTCACCTCTGCCTGCCTTACCGACTACAATACTCCGCTGCCAGCCCTGATGCCTGCTTCTCGTGTGACCTGCCTTTGGATTACCCCTTTATCTGAACTGCGCTTTGGTTTTTGCCTCCTCCTTGTGCCATCTCCTGCACCTGGGCTCCAACTCCTGGTAAACTGTGACAAAGATTACGAATACTATTGAGTGGAGAGTCATTGGGGGCTTGGAGGAGAAGCAAGTTTATACTCAACCTGATCAAAATAAAAAATAGGTAATATGGGGGGCTTAGGGGCATTTGGGGGTGACTAGGGGGTCAGTTAGATGTAGTGGAGTCGGGAGGGGGGTTAAAAAAAAAAAAGAACGGGATTCGGCCATGACAGTGCCGCTTTAAAGACAAACAAAGCCGGATGGACTTTCAAATAGTTATTTTATTTTTTTTAAAGGTTTTTGAAAGAGATATAATTAACTATTTGTTGGAACTCTTTAGGGAAGTTGGAGAAGAAGGAAAAATGCCAGAAGAAATGTTATGGGCGATCACATCTCCGATCCAAAGATAAAACGTTAAAGGACCACTCTAGGCACCCAGACCACTTCAGCTTAATGAAGTGGTCTGGGTGCCTGGTCCAGCTAGGGTTAACCCATTTTTTCATAAACATAGCAGTTTCAGAGAAACTGCTATGTTTATGAATGGGTTAAGCCTTCCCCTATTTCCTCTAGTGGCTGTCTCATTGACAGCCACTAGAGGCGCTTGCGTGCTTCTCACTGTGATTTTTTAAACCCTAACCAAAGTTAGCAATCATATGTGTTTTTTTTGTTGTTGCATTTTTCATACAAAAACTGCATTTTCATTGACATCATCATTAAACATTTATGGTTTTAAAAAACAGAGCTGTATATACTATACAGAAATAGGGCGCCACTTATCACCAGATATACAAACTGAATATAGTTACCCTCCAACGAGCAGATGAGGATATTCACATAAAAGATATAAAAAGAGAAAACATCATAGTGCAAACTTTTAATCCAAAATGGTAAAAAACATATAAATAAACACTCACAAACGGTGTGGCACAATTGATGAAATCAATTGACGCCATTGAATTTATTCTCTATCACAACTTTTTTTGGTTTAACGATAAATATTATCTCCAAACTTGTGGTACAGCCATGGGCACCAGGTTACGCAAACATTTTTGTCGCGAATTGGGAAATGAAGAACATTTGGAAAAATAATCCCTTCGGCGCAAACCTGGTGCTATGGAGACGTTATATAGATGATGTTCTTATTATATGGAAGGGACCAAGAACTCTCTTAGAAGATTTTTTAAAATATATTAATTCTAACTCTTATAATCTGGTTTTTACAGCAGAAATTAACACATTGAATATTAATTTTTTTGATTTAACTTTTTTTATTAAGGACGGACGAGTACAAAGTAAAGCTTTTTTTAAACCCACTGATGGTAACAGTTTTATTGAGTTTTCTAGTTGCCATCACCCAAACTGGCTTAGAAATATACCCAAAGGACAACAAATGAGAATATATAGGAATTGTACTGAAAAAGGTGACT